TCATCCACTGCATCCTCAGGACTCATACCACCATGAAATTGAAATCTCATGTCATCAACCCTCACGTCAAACACGCTGATGGTATCAGCTCATGACTCATGACCATTGGTTTCCTCACGCCACCCAACCTTTTCCATACCCACCCATTCATGCCAAGATGCAGACTCATTGCGCTCATCCATGGCCTGATAGAGCTCATCCAGGGCATCAAAGTCAAAGAACTGATCCCCAATGCCACTCATCAACTCCTGGTGCATGGACAGGTGTGAATGGGAGAAGTTAAGCAATGACCTCACGTCACCAACCCTCATGGTATGAGCCCTGATTGGGGAGGATCAGTGAGAAGGGAATATATCATGCGATCAACCCCTTGGCAATGGTTCCTATCAAACCCTCATGGGCACCAGGCATACCAACACTCATGTCACCAACCCTCATGGTTCCCAAGGCCCCACCCAATCTCACAGCACTGATTTTCTAAAAAATCTGAACCAGCTCATCAGCTCATCAGGCTGCAGGCTCATCAGCCCATGTGGGCAGTCTGCAGGATGGATCTCATGGCATCCCCATGATTCAGCCCAGCAAGCACAAGGTTATGGGTTCCTGGCCATCTCTCATCAGACCTCATTGCATGGATCTCCTCCATCAACTCCATCAATCTCATTTCAAATCTCATGGGGTTGTCCCTTCTCATGAGCTGATCCCACTGATCCATCCCAGGCTCAACCATGACCATGAGGCCACATTCCAATGTTGGCCTTGATCTCATTCAGGATCTCACCCCTGCTCTTGCCCTCATCATTCATGGTGGAATAGAGCCCATGGCTTTGAACCTCCTTATCACTGCACAACATGAAGCTCACCATCATCTGGAATGTCTGATGTAGGCCAATGTGCAAATGCCAGCCCACATGGTCTCATGGTCCTGATGGTTCCCAACCCTCATCACATCATACTCAATGAGTAGCCAATTTCTAATCTTCTGCAACCTCATGCTTGTAGGGCAGGGTTTCTCTGACCATCTCACGAGCACCCATCCTCTCAGGCCCCATAGCCTTTGCTGCAGGTGCCTCAGCCTGTCTCTGATGAGCCACCTGCCTCATCCAACCTTGCCTCAACCATGGCGAGGCTGTGGGAGACATCTCTTGCCCTCATGGAGATTGATTTCATCTCCTCACGCAGCCCATCAAGCTTCTCATACAGCCTGTCATACAGCTTGCTCATCCCATAGTATCCCATGGCCATGCCCATGCCAATGCCACTCATCATCAGCAATGCCATCATTGCAAGGTGAGCTTATGAGCTAATAAGCTTATGGTCCTGCTTCTGGTTTGCTTATGCTTGGGCCTGATCTATTGCAATTGCAACCCCATATTCATCAATCCTGATGGTCAGATCACATGACCAACAAAAAACAACTAAATCTCTTGGTTCTCAAACCCTCATGGCCCTCCACCCAGCTCCCAAACCCTACTTCCCACCACCACCAGAAGCTCCTCATGCTCATCCAAATGGAGCAGCTGCATCAAAGCTCTCATCGAGGAATACCTCAGTGGACAGTGGATGAAACTCATGACTCATGGCCCCCACCAACTAAATATCAGTGGCTCCTATCAAAATCTACTCCCATCAACCACCCATGGATCCTATCAAAACCTCACCCCATCAACCCCTGAACCCTGTTCTTCAACCCTCATGGTTCCCACCAACACCATGGTTCCTATCTCATCCCATCAACCCTGGACCCTGCTCTTGGACCTTTATGGTTCCTATCAACCCCATGGTTCCTATCAGAATCTCATTGCATCATCTCATCAACTCTGCTCTTCAACCCCCATGGTTCCTATCAACCCCAATGGTTCCTATCAAATACCAACCCCAATGGCCCCTCCCAAGCATGGACCTCATCATTCCTATCAACCCCCTCCCAAAACTCTTTTTCTAGAGGCTGCCACCTGCTCCTTACCAAGCTGGTGGAAAATTACCCCATGCTCATTTTGAGCTCATGGCCATTCTTGGCTCATGCTTCTATGGCCTCATGGCCTGATGGACTTGCCATGCTGGAGGATGGAGCTTATGACATCCCTTTGTGGCCATTGGCCCCTCAGGGTGCTCATGGCTGGCTTGAAGTGCTCATTGGTCTCCAGCTCATAGGTCTCACAGAGCTCATGCAGCAGCCAATGCCTGAATCCTCAGTGGGGCAAGCAAAAAGCAAAGTAAACAACCATATCTTCAAATAAAAAAACCTACCAACTCATCAACTCCACCCAAAATCTTTCAAATCCATCCAGATTGCTCATCTTGTGGTCTTGCCTGATCATCTCCTCATACGTGGCATCTGCAGGCTCATGGATCTGGAACATCTGGGACTTCATGGCTGCTTTGATGTTCTCAACCACCTCATGGATCAGCTCATGTGGCTTCTTGCCATGCTCATAGGTCCCACCTCATGCACAGGAAATCTGCCCTCCCTCCTCCACCAAAAAGACATAACCCACCATACCCCTACCAAAGCAACCAAAACTTAAATCCAATCACTGCCAAAAGGACTCTCAGTCACCTCATCCAATCCCATCTGGATCCTGAGCAGAACTTTGAATGTGCTTATGTAGCACAATGTGCACAAGCTCATCCAAGCCATGTTGGACTCCTTCTCATCAGAAACCATGCTCTTCATGGTGTCATGCTCATAGAGCAGCCATGACCTCATCAGAGGCACCCTCATCTCCACAGTGCAAGGAGCCTTCTCCTCATCCCAATCATTCACCACCCATCCCCTCAATAATTTCAGCCTCATCTGCAGATGCCTGACCTTATCTCGCCACAAGCAGCCATTCATATTCAGCCTCATCTCAATGCTGGACAATGACTGATGCAGCTCACCCATGGCCTCATACATCCTCTTGCCCATCTCCTTCTTCACCTGTCTGATGTAGAGGGCCATGCCTCCCATGCTCATGCCCATGACCAATGCCCCCATCATGGCACCAATCATTGCTTATGGGCTGGTGGGCTGATGAGCTGATCTGATCAAGCTGATGCGCTGATGAGCCAATCTCTATGGTAAATATATGGTTCTTTTCATACCCACCCCCATGGTGCTTCTCATACCTACCCCCTGGTCCTTCTCAAACCTATCCAACTCCATCCCTTTCATCCACTCCCATCCCTTTCACCCCATCCCATCCCTTTCCATCCTTCCCACTTCAAGCCAAGGTGCCTCATCCTCATCAGCCAATGCCCAAAAGGCATTGTGCAGAAGCATGGTGGCTTATGAGACTACCTCACCTGCTCACCAGCTGATACCCATTCTGAGCCCAAATGTTACCAGCCAATTCCTCTCGTGCCTTGCTTCCTATGACTATGAGCTCATTGCTTCCTATATGGACTCTGGTATCATCCTTCATGGTCCTATGGTCTCATAGCACATTATTCAGGGGGAGTGGACCTCATGAGTGGTATCTCATACCTTCTTGACCTTGTTGACCTTCCATGTGGGGGGGGGCTGTTTATTAATCAGAGGTTTGCATTAGCGGCTCCACGTGCCAGGCACCACACATCCACCCGCGACGGTCTATGCCCGTATGCTTGCGCCGGATTGATTTCTCGCAAGCCTGCTCCGGTTTCCTGTACCTCCCAAACTCCATGTGCCATGTCAGCAAATGGAATGTGGAAGAGGGTTTTGGAATTTTGTCTTTTTGGCCCATGTGGTTACAACCTGGGTGGATATGTGGGTCCAAATCCTCAGGCATTCATGGAAATCCTGAAGGAGCAGCAAGAACTTCAAGAGAATTGCCGTCCCTTGGGTAGGTATTTCATGTTTTTCAACAATGCCAACTCTGGACTGGAATCCCACATGAGTGCGAACAAAATCTATTTGGTATTTATTCTGTCATGTGTGAGGTGACTCATATTGTTACGGTGACGAAGACTTCATGGGTGAATGTAAGGCTCTAGCGAGGAAAGTCCACCGATGCTGGCCAATGGGTTCAACCCACCCTTTTTCTATTTGTATTCTTTTGGTTTGCTTGTGTCGTGCACCTACTAGTCAAGGGATGCCACATGTGACAACAAAGGACAGGCCCTTGAGCTGCGTGTGTGCATGCGGTGGCTCCTTCGGGTGAAACATCCACGTGTGAAGCGTGGGCCCGCATGAGAGAAGGGGTGCTGGGAGTGTGATGCTGCACTTTTACCTAGGGTAAGAAGTATCGGAATTCGAATCAAAATTGATGTGCCTATATTCTGCCTACATATGGCAATTTCAAGGTGATGTGCTCAGATTCTTCCTACGGGTCTGAATGTATTAAATATTTACCCACGCTGGATGCTTAGGGAAAGATCTTTCCACTGCACCACGAAAAAAGGGATCGGCGGCACCAGGCGGAGTCCGGAGCCCTTACAATATACGCCCTGCATGTTTGCCCCTGAGGTTTGAAGGGTCTTGTAGCCATGCTTGGACGAAAGACCCAATCGTCATGGACGACCGAGGGTAGTGAAGGATAGAGGGTCGAGCCTGAATATGCGACGTCCTTTCTTAAACCAAATCGTCTTGTCGATCTTGCTTGAATCGTCTTGTCTGATCTCGTTTCGGGTCATTCAACCCTGCGAAGCAACTCGAAGATTCAGAGATTACCGAACATCATGTCACCCGCAACCATTGACTGTTCGGAGAAGCACACAATGCACATCTGGAGAAGTGTAAGAAGTTGCCAGAAATGTGTATGATTTGCGAATGTTTGCGAGGAGTTGTGGAAGAGCAAAATGGAAAGAGGAGCAAACTCGTTCCCAGACAGAGAAACAGGGAGGGTCTCGCCTCAAGATCTGTACGACGTCCTAATCGGGAAATGAACGCCACAAGTGTGCACAGTGAAATGTTGAAAATCTGGGTTCACATCAAGTCCTGCAGAACAAGTATCAGTGCAACAATTCCTCAAGGCGTCCAAGTTCAGCCTTCCGCCCTCCCATCCCTCATCCAACCCAATAAACACCAACCAAGAAACCCCTGCATCTGGCACCTCGATGTGGAAGTCTCCCACCGGTCTCCTCCTCAAATCCTTCAATCTTGCAGCCACCTCCAGACTCAGTTCAGAACAAGGAGTTGCCTCCCAGGGACCTTCCAATACAGTAGGTGTTTGTCAGAGGTGGTTGGACGCTAAGAGGCTAAGAGGTGGGTTTTGGACACCTCTGGTCCCCATTTTTCGTCGTCATGCACTCACTGTATGATACAACCCTTTCGACTTTGAGGTGCAGAGTTCAACTCGATGATACAATGATAAATGTTGATATACCGATTCTACCTGGTGCTGTACGGAAAAACTCCTAGCCAAATACATTCGAGTTTGCAAGTGTCTAAGGGAGTTGGGGAGACCGAGAAGAATGCGCTACCAGCGATACTCTGACGATACGAAGGTCATACCACCTGATTCGGACCCTTCAACCAGTCATGTTTTTTGAGCCCAAGCTTGCTTCTAGGCTCTGCCACAAAACAGGGATCCTATCCTCAGGTTGTGCAAGGTTGCCAGTGGTCTTATTTAGCACACTCCAGTTTCCTGACTGTAGTGAAGAGGGTCCCTGGATTGTACTTTGGGATGAGTAAATATCATACCGCCCACATGCAAAACTATACTCAAGGAACCCATAGCCCTTAGCAAGCAATTAGATTAGATTGTTGATACAAGAAAATTAGTAACATGCTTCCCAGGTTTTAACTCATGAACTCCCGTAACCCGCACTGCTCCCCGCGAGAGTCGGGGTTCTTCTGGTCGCTCCGCGCCTCCTCCGTGGAGATGGAGAAGCTCCGTTGTAAGTCTTCGAGCCGAGCTTCGGGATGCCTCAGAGATACCACACTCCTCGTCGCTGTCCTTAAACACCTCAACAAAAAGAGATCCACCAGAACTCCTGTTGGTCAATTCGCCATATTGCGAGCAACGAAACAAACGGAAGGAGGACCCACCCGAGGGAGCTCGTCCACAGCCCTGGAAACACCTTTGGACCCAACCGTTCATAGCTCCTTGGAGACAGACTTTCGAGCGACAGCAAGGAATGCTGATTGTGTTTTTTGCTCGGCTGATGTTTTTTTCAAGTCCCACCATGTTGAAACACCCAAAAATCACCACGACCCCGCTGCTGCCGCAGCAGTTGTAAAACTCAGGTTTCGGCGGTTTCGGCTCGGAGACGTCCTCCGAGGCTCCTGAGCATGGCTTCTCTGGGAAGCTGATTGGTGCCGATGGCCTTTTGAGAATCATTTGGCGCTCGAGAGATGACAGGTCCCAAAGGACGAAAATTGTGGAGAATCCCAAGCTCAACTAACACACAATTATTCGTCTGGAGGGAGTGGCGTCAAAGTATGGAGTCGTGTACAGGTTGCAATGGATCTCTGCCTGTGTCCAAGGAAAGACTAACCTACATCGAATTAATCAACATCATGGTGTGGTTCTCTGGAAACACTTTGTATGTGGCAACTGCTCCCAGGAATCCCACCACGCGTGTCGTGCGTTTTTTCTTCGATATTCCTTGCATATCATGAATGAAAAACATGGGGCCCCGGCGACTGTGGTATTCCCCAGCGTTTGGAGTGTTCATCCTGCCGGCTCTTCGCAGCACGAAAGAAGGTACCTTTTTGAGAGCTTGTGGCACCAAGTCTGGGGCGAAGCTTGTTGCAATGCATCATGTCTGGTCATCATCAAAACAAGCAAATCCAGTTCGAGTGATATGCCAAACAAATGTCATGTCCTGCTCCCATTGCGAGAACTCATCAATGATCTGCCTGGGAGAACGGTAACCAGTGGCCTGAAGAACCTAGACGATGCTCCTTGCTTTAGATGATGACCCTTTCTTGCGTTCACTTCTTGTCAGTAGACTTTCATGCTTGGTGAAGGAAGAACACCCTAAAGCAAAACAACAAGTAATATTAGTCAAGTCTAGTCAGAGCCTTAGCTTCAAAACCCTATATCTATGCTGCTTGCTTTCCTGACTGGCAGGGCCCGGTGTAGAACCAATAAGCACGTTGGCTGGAGTGGCCTGTTAACCCCACTGTCCGCGTGTGGCCCAACGGGTACGCACTGTTCTGAGGACCAACAGTACGCCTGCTGCTCTGCCCAACTCCGAGAACTAGGTAAAAGCCTTGGAAGAAGTGCTGGTCAACTGGCCAGTCAGAAAGAAGTCCAGTCAGTACTGCTGATGTTTGATGAAAAGGAAAATGTCGTGAGGAAAGAAGGGTGGGAGTTTGAGAAACCACGTCATGGAGAAAATACATGCAAAACTGTCCAGAAAGGGGTGTGATTCCGGTATGATTCACATGTACCTTGCTCGCGACTTTGGCCGCCTTGGGTGTTGAATCTGAACAGGTGGGTTCTGCAGTCACCCCACGAAATGGACAAAGATTTGCATGTCTGTCTTCATAGGAGGATCTCCTCTCCATGCATACAGAACTATACTTGGCAAGCTCACCCATTTCCCGATTCCTGACTCTATCCTCAAAAAAACATGCCTTGTCGAAACAAGCCACCTTTAAGGGATTCGCCACACTGGGCTCTCCCGGCTCCTGCGACTCCACCAGCTCAGTGGAGCGAGCCACCATGGGTTGCTCCAGGTCCAAGCGATCCACCCGATCCCTTGGCGCCCGGTGGGTGCCCCGTGTGGCTTCCCCGTTCAGAAGACGGAGAAAGGACGCGATCCAAATGGAGAGATGGTCGGTGCGAAATGAACAAGTCGAAGTCCGCGGCTCAAAGCCGTGGTTTGTGCTTGAGATGCAATACCCTCTTCTCGGCAGTCTACTCTGATCTACAATGGCACAAGTATTTTAGCAAACAGAAGTCGCTTGTGAGTTTGTAGGGGTGAAAAAATGATTGTCTCTTTGTGGGCGAGAGCAAGACTGGGGACATGGTCCAGGAGGGTGATGATTCGCAAATCAGGCCAGTGTGGCTTAGTTGGTTTACACCTCTGTAGCTGTGTCATAGCTGTCCCGAAAAGTCTTAGGAACGTTTTGATATTCACCGAACCGTCTCATGTGCTTAGGCAAGGATCGAGCGCAGTGCAGCCAGAGTCCCACGTTTTGTATACTCAAACGGAAATACTATGGAGCATATGGGGGAATCCCTTTTCTGTTTGGGGAATCACCTGTTAGGTTGGAGGCCATCGCTAGTAGGTTGGATTACTCTCCTTGGTTTAAAGAGTAAGCCGAGCGGCATCAAGGACTCGTCCCAAAGGCTGGTGAGAGAGGCAAGGACGTCCTCGCCACGGTGGACCCGAGGTCCAATGTCCAGTTCTTGGGACCCACTGCACTTGGGACACCAGCGGTGTCCGCCGGCTTCTGCACCCCAAAACAGTCATCTCATCCCAAAACAAGGTCCTGACATCAATTGATTTTAAAGAAAAACAAGGAGGAGAAGGGCCAAGCGAGAAAGGCTCCTTTGTTCTTTCGAGTCCCTTCAATTCTCGCCTTCTCAGAGTCCATCAGGCTGCTCTCTTCCACGGACTTCAAGGCTAAGCCCTCAACAGGTCCGCCCGGTCCGACTTGGATCCCACACGGGTGAACACGGTTCGGGTCGCATGGTTTCGGACCACAGCACTCTGGATTGTTGGGCACTTTTCAGTGCTCTACCATTCACAGTTGAACAAACCTGTCATCAGTGAACTTGGAATACATGACTTCTTGTGGATCCAAAAAAGACTTGACAACATGTGTGATTTAAACATAAATGATGCAAACCCCATCAGGATTCTGACTAGCTCCCTGTTATCAACCTCCTCTTGTGCAGGATGGGTGTGAAGTTCTAGTGGCCTCACATCAAACATCAATTTCGCACACCTTTTAAATTAGGCTCGGATGCCCACAATTCTCTAGTTCCAGTACTTGATGAGTTGAATCCCAATGAGCATCGAACACGGCTCCAGTATCGAATTCAAGGCTCCAATAGACGAGCTCACATTGAGCTCACCTGCCAAGCTATGAACTTCTGCCAAGCTCAACTGAAACTGACTGGGTATATCCCTGTGGTTGGAGGATAAACCGCGCATTGCCGCACCACCAGACACGACCAGATTTGCCAGCCAACTCGACCCCTTTAGGCTCCGACGACATCATGCTGTCCTGAATCACCACCTGGCCAGGAAAAGGCGAGCTAAATGGTCGCAAGTGCGCCGTAGTGCCCTAGTTCAACTGGGATATGCTGTGCTATCAACTAGTCGGCAAGTCCCCTGCCTGCTCATGTGAATCGATGCTGCAAAATCTAAGAATACCTCCATGGTCTTTTTCGGTATGGCAATGCACCTGGTCGAAAACAAAGCATTCGACCGCCATGTGCCGCATGTGTGGCGGCACCTGGAGCCAAGACCGTCTTTGGAAATTCCAACTTGGCGAGATGGTCCTGATGGAGATCGAACACGCAAATGTGGACCATGCAGTCCATTCTCAGTCTTTCAAGAGAGATCTTTCAAGAGAGATTTTGAAGCATACATCTCGCATCCTGCCAGTTGTTTTTGTTGTGCTATGGCTGCTGTATGAGTAAGGAAAGCAATCGTTGTTTCTTGGTAGGTGTATCAGGTCATCGCGCCAGCATGATAATTCAGTCATCTCCTTGCAATACAGTGTCATTATGCTCAGACGATGATTTCTTGCCAATGCTTTTTTTACCAGTTACTGTATATTCCGGGAGCATGAACTCGGAATAAGATGGAATAAGGCATCGCCAGCCAGTAAGCTCCACGAACCACCTAACATCGCACACCCTGGAAATATATACTGCGTATACTCAATTCTACTTGCAGTATCTATTGCATAGAGTAGAACAAATCCCAATGAATTGGATGGTCCAAACAAGTCGGCTGTTCATAAGGTGTGATGTACGACGTTGCGATTGCCCTAGCTTAATCTGGCCTCGCCTGGGCTTTCAAAACCCTGCCGTTTCCCGAAACCTCGTCAGCGGAAAGGCCAACACCCAAAAACAGGAAACACCAAGCAATACCAAACAGAGAAAAAAGAACTCAAAGGAAGGAACAACAGACGGAAGAGGGAAGAGAAAACATGAGAAAACACCATCTCCCCTTCTCCTCTTGAATGAGGAACTGCCCGAAGCTGGGTGCCTTTTCTTTGGACACCTTGCTCCTGAGACGGCTCCAAGGCAGTCCAAAGACATCGGTCGACTCGTCATTCGACATGACCAAAGAGCTACTAGTAGCTTCTTGCTACTAGTAGCGATGCCCTTTGTTTCTAGTAGCTTCTAGTAGTAATGTACTTGTTACTAGCAGCGTCCTTGCTACTAGTAGCGATGCCCTTGTTTACAGCGATGCTCTTGTGCCTTGTAGAAAACTGAGCAAAAAAAACTCAAGTCGCTGGCCAATCGACTTGTGTCTGGTTGCTCTGTGTCCCAACCGGTCGCACCGAGGTCCCAGCGAGCGTTTGAAGGGCAAGCCTTTCGGGCCTCAGTCGTACAAACCTCCATCCTCACCCGATACCAGCTGGAGACAGGAGAAGCGACAGTCAAAAATCGAAGTTCATTGAAGGTCGGTTGATGTTCTGTGGGCAGTTCACTTCAACTTGACTTTTGGAGTTCGTTGAAGTTGCTCTTTTTGAGAAAACCTGCCCAGTTCTGAAGTTGACCTTTGTTTGACTCTCAGATGCAGAATTGGTTTCGGAATCCAGGAGTCCCACCCGTCACAAGAGATGAAAGAGACTACTGGAACTTACAATCCTAGCACGTGCATACCCAGAAAGTGTCGTCATCTCATGCAAGCATAGGCCGGACGGCTCCGGATCACTTGCGCTTACCTCAATACATGATCAAGAACGCTCGACTCCATGCTTTCTGTGGCTGGCTCACAAAGATGGGGGCATCAGAAATCCTGGTACCTACACACCTTATTGTCCGGGAAAAAAATAGATGGGCTCGATCCAGCCAGAGGCGCTGGAGTCGCTTCCGACTTGGATGCACATTCGATGCTGCCCTATGCTCCCCGACAAAGGGGCTGGGATGCGAGCTGCTGCTTACGCCTCGCGGTGGCGCCAGACTGGCGCTGAAGCTGGCAGTGGTAGCGGTGGGTCTCTCAATGTTGTCCTCCAAGGGACATTGCGTTTTTGGGATGGTTGTGTCGTCGGGATGCAACTTCTTGCCCTGCAGTTCCTTAGACCCTTTTGGAAAACGAAGTGTTCTCTTCTTTTTGAGACCACGACTTGGACAAATGAACCAACACATAAGCTCAAAGCGGCTGTAGCCACTGTAGCCCGAAACACGTTCACAACCAGGTGCTTCGTCGCTTGGACAAGTTCATCTATATTTTTGAGAACCAGGTCATGAGGGCCATGAGTTGGAAATTCCACCACGTTCGCACCACCAGGTAGCCAGAGGGAGGGCTGCAGGCCTTTTGTTCCGCAAAGTGTCTGGACCTGAGCTGAGCAGAATTGAACGCATGACGTGGGCTTAGTCTTAATGTAGTCCTCAAGCAGAAAAAGGAACAATCCAAAGGCCTTGTCATGTTCAACCCGAAATCTCTTACTTCAAGGCACACATATTCTCACACCTATCCCCTACGCGCGAGGATCCCTTGGCAGCTCTGGGATGCTCCGCGCAAGTGGGTAGTAGGCTGAAACGGCATCTGGATTTGACGGCATCCCGTCACCAGTCCGACCTCTCTGTTGTCACCTCTTGGCCTCCCTACAGGTGGTCAATAAGATTCTCGGCAAGATCTCTGTCGCTCTGCCAGTGCGGGGGACCTGGCAGCATTCGCGGGTCATCGAATTTGTGGCTTCGAGTGCTGTCAAGGTGTGAGGAGATTTCATGAGGACTTCTTGCAACCGATTCTGAGGCAAAACAAGAAGCTAGTAGTAACAAGTGCATCCCTTCTAGTAACAAGTGCCTTACTAGTAGTAACAAGAAGCTAGTAGAAACAAGCTTGATCGCAAAACCTTTCTCAGCATCCCCACCGTCGGCAGGTGCCGAAACCCAGGGGGAAGCTCTGCCATGGCTCCATCGGCTTTGCCTAAATGGGGTGTAAAACATGCATCTTCTTCCGATTCTTTTCGTTTTGATCCTGATAGCGATGGCCTCCACCCTAGTAGCGATGGAGTAGTCCGGTTTGAATTGAACTTTGGGATGCGAATTCTGGGATGCCCTGTGCTCGCTTTTTGTGGATCTGCTCTTCCTCGATCGGCGTGCGTTGGGTGCGGGGTTCAAATGATTTGTGGAAAGTTTGAGAGCGTTTGAGAGAGTCTAGTGAGTCTAGTGACGCTTTCCAAGAGGATCCTACAACCTGGGAATGGGCTTGTGTTTTCTTGCAGCTTATCACAATGACGGGCAGATATGATTCTTTGACGCGGCCCTATGGCACTATGGGCTTTATTCTGCAACGCTTCATGGATGGCCAATGCCTGGAGTCGGCGGATGTCAGCATGATTGTGCCTATCCGGTCTGTCTTTTGGACTTGTGGGTGTTCATCAATTCCATGACAAGTGCCAAGCAATCAAGACACCCCCTTCTGGCCAAAGGGTCCCCAAAAAATCAAACATCCCCTTCTTACCAGAGCCGATGTCCTGTGATTCCTTTTCAAGAATGATGTCAAATATGATAACAGTATGATGATCCCATGATCTGGATTGGTCCTGAAACACGCCTGTCCTAATTCAATCTTGAACCACTCCTGTTGACTGGACCTCAGCCAACGCTGGTCCGACTGGGCCAAGGCCGCAAGTTTCGGGGCTCATGGTGTAGAAAATACTCCTAAATACTCCTAAACTCTATGGTGGCTGATCGTTCTTGCGAGGCCCGGCCGTTTTCACAGCTTATCAAGTCCAACGAGGTCCCAATCCGAAGTCATCAGCAAGAAGGGTTTTCCTGAGCGCCAGCAAGCTCCGCAAACGCTCTAGATCGCTCTGCCTTTTTGAATCGAGATTCAGGATAGCCATGTGAAATGCAGGCTGCTGAAGAATCAGATCAGCGGTTCGGAATCTAATGGATCCTTTTGTTCGGTGTAAAATGTTTGCTGACCAAGAAAAAAACAATTGAGAGAGTCCTGTTATTGCAAGCGACTTGATGACAAATAGATTCTCCTCCTGTCTGAAGTCTTTTGACTTGGGAGAGCTGTATGCTTACTCCTAGTTCATGTCGCTCTTCTCCTCACCATCATGCCCTGAAGTCCAGTTCCACTTCCATTACCTTTCGATTTCCCAAAAGATTGCGCTGGTTCTTTGGCAAAAACGATGGTGAACTGCAAAATGTACAATTTAAAGTCTAGGAGTTTGGACTTTCTTCAGACCTTAAATTGATTCCTACAGGCTCGATTGCCGAACCTGGTGCTACGCTTAATCAATGCAGACAATGGCCTAGGTCATTGACGGCTAAGCTACCTTCTGCAGCCCCGTGTTCCGTACCTAAACATACCTAAACTGGATACATGCAAGCTCGTGCAAGCTGTCGTCCAAGGATGGATTCCTGCAAATAGAGTACTCACCAAGTCTAAGGCATCCCCCAATGTCTTCTTCAGATTTGAGACATGTGTCCAGTGTTTTCTTTTGTTCTGGGGATGACTGCAAAGATCTCATTCAGTGGTGATACAAAAACCCCGGTACCCAGTGAAACCGGCTGTTGGGTTGCAATTGGTCGTTCGCAAGTACTGATGGGACATGACCCATAAAGTCTTTCTTTGGTACAGTTCTTGCCGTTCTCCAAGGAATATAAAATGTTTGCTAAGGCAAGTAAGCAACTATGATGACCCCATTTTAGGACAGGGATTCTTGCTTTGTGGGTGTTTCATCCTTCCGAGTCGGACCCTTTCGTTGGCCCTTTCGTCGCTGCACGGGGCTGCCACAGGCTGGACTTCATGCCCTGGAAAACGGTCTTTTGGGGGAGCCGAGAACTGAGGGAAGCGAATGGATGGTCTCAAGAAGACCAAAGAGATGGAGGATGCGAACCACATCTCTGAAACGGTCTTATTGGGATGTGGATCATCCAGCTTTCAGCTAAGAGATGCCTCTTGGCCAGCTAGTAGAAAGACACCTCCAAGTCACCATCATTGTAAATAGAGCGGTTTCTTAGTCCAAAACTGGCAGTTGGCAAAAGCGTCCAAGCGAAGGCCGCTAGCGTTGAGGAGAATCACTCCCGTCCACAGAAGGTTGAATGAAAACCCCCTATACCTTGTGGACATCCTCATAGTGGAACCTCTTTTGGTGCCTAGGCCCTGGACTTCCAGCAATTCATAGCTATTGAGCCTCCTTGAGTTCAAAACGACTGTGTCATCAAAAAACACACAAGACTAAAACCAATGACAGAACAAGGTCAGCTTCCTCTCACAGATTGATTGACAACTCCTCGACGTTTTGGTTGCCAAACCTAGTGCATGCCTGAGAAGGTCTGTTGCAGCAACCAACACTGGCATCATCCACACAAATAAAAAGGACTAAAATAAAACATCTCTTTGCGGTATTCGCGTTCCCACAGTCATTAAAAGCTCTGGCAGATTTACAAAGGTACATCACTCCCTGATCACTGTGTGACCTGGCAATCGGTCGGCGCTTTTTGGCTTCCAAACAAGTGGCCCAGGGATCTGAAATTCCTGTCTGGCATACAGATACGCATGCTCTCCCAACCCCTTTTAGAACAAGTCACGACTGGGAACTTTCTATATAATTGACGTTCTTTGACAAAGGCATACAAAGGCGCGTCAACGATGAATGATGAATGTTTATGCCTCATGACTCATGACTGTTACACGGTGGAGCAGCCCACAAAGAATTCCCACAATCTTCTGGTCAGGATTTTGTCTCAAGCTGAAGCGCGAGGATGCATAGGAGCTGCGCCCAGGGCCATGTCCCATGAGAGCAGACTCAGATGCACAGACAAGATGGACAATGTAACAATGGGAACTGTCTAAGACTTGTTCCTAAAAATGACAAACGACTGGCTCACACAACAGCACAAATGAATAATCTACCTGCAGTGATGTCTCGGGAAGCTCTGTTCAAGCACATGCCTCCAACATCGCAGTTCAATTGAACTGCTCTCATTCTGCATCATTTCTGTCAAACTGTTCAGTTCACGCGTTCATGCGAAAATGATCGAAAATGTGTTCTCTTGCCTGCAAAAAGGACAAACGAGTGCTGAGGTGCTAAACTCCCTGCAGAATCTCTGGGATCCCCATGTCATCAAGCATTCCTCGTGATAGCAGTGTTGGCATGGCAGCTGCTTCACTCGTTCATCGAAATGGAGTTGGTCCAAGCAAATTGCGCACATCAACTCACCATCCGTATGCACACATGGAAGTTGATTCTGAATCCACCTGAGGGTCTGAAGTGTCTCAAGTCGCAAGCTCAAAAAGAAGGGACTCAAATCAAAAACGGTTGCGGTCAAAAAGCAAGGACTGCCCCTCCCACTATTAATATGACAGTGACTGCCCTTGAAGTGGTTCTTCCATGATCTGTTTCATTCTTTTTCGCACCATGATTCTGCTGCCGCAGAAACGTTAATCACGCATGGCTGGAACAAGTAAGTAAGGGCTACGGGCGCAAGGGAATGCTGAAGGCTAAATCGACTAATGCTGTTTGATTATGTATGGTGCAAATGAAAGCGTCTGGCCATGGTCAGCATCTGCGTGAAATGAAGAGTTGAGGCTGTTGTGCTGTTCTGACCTCAGCCTCAGCTTGACCAACATCACAGGTGCCCCAGTGCACCAGTGCGACGAGCTTGGCTCAAAATATGATTTATCACGGAGTGCAGGGCAGATTCCATTTTTGGGTCGGCTTCAAAGTCGTCTGTCGTGTAGTGTGGATGGTCAGTGACCGCAAAGAGTGCTTAGAATTTTGGAGTACAAGAGCAAACGAGCAAAGGAGATTGTCACTGTCTGGTACTTGGCAAGATTGGCAATATAGCGAGCCTAAACAATATTCTGGGAGATGCCCGCCCCACAGCTCCTCTCCGGCCAATCCGTCTCCAATCAGCTAGATTAAGACACCAAAGCTCCAACTACCAAATAATGATTAGTACATGGCACTCATACACCCTCGGCAACATGATGCTATTTGTCCCAGCCTGTGGGGAGGGCCAAAACGGCCAGGCGACTTAGCCCCTGAGATCGCTGAACGGTTCAACACTCATTCTTGAAGACACAACTAACTTGTTTTGAAGCTTTAGATTCTGAGGCTAGGTTGGAGGCCAGCGCTATTAGGCGGAGGCCATCGCTATTAATTAGGTGGAGGCCATCGCTATTAGGTGGAGGCCATTGCAATTAGGTGAAGGCTTTCGCTATTAGGTGGAGGCCATTGCAATTAGTTTGGAGGTCATTGCAATTAGGTGGAGGCTTTCGCTATTAGGTGGAGGCTGTTGCAATTACAGTAGCTTGGAGTTCATCTTCAACTTGAGATTTAGAGCACAGAGTCTCCCAGTGCGTTATGTCCAGGTCTCCCAGACAGAGGCGCATGTGAGGGCGGGGGTGGTGGCCCCCTGAGCGTCGCCAAGCGAATCGAGCTGGTTCAAAGAAGATGGGCCTTTTGCAAAGGGCATAAGAGGTATTGAGAGGTGGGTTTGTACTGTACTCCAAATGCAAGCCTTCTGCTGGCTGGGTGGGAAATACTTCAAAGTTTCTGGGTGAGCTGAGGGGGTCACCTTGGCCCTTCCCAAGGACAGCATCAATGCTTGGGTTGTTTTAGAGAAAAGATCCTTGCTGTCCTTGCTCTATAAACAGGGTGTGTCGTTGTGCTCTACACATCAAACCAGCGTCTTTCCAAAAATGCTACTGCGGCCTACGGGGGTTCCAGTTCCACTCAGTCGCGTTTTTTGTTGACTCTGGGGTCGCTGCCATTGCTGCTGGGGCAGCAGCCTGGAGACGAAGTCGGTGTGGGTCAAGACGTGGACCCACGCAACTACAGGTGAATGCAAGCGACAGGCATGGTGTTTAAGTTTATAAATACTTCTGGCCGTACTTGAGCTCAATCCCAGGTTGCCATCTGACCAATCACTGAACAGCAGGATACTGGATCGAGGACAACAGTTGTGTGTGTGGGCCACCAAAAG